GAATATCGGTAAGCCCCCAAAGTAGATCGACCCCCAAACAGTAGGATTCCCTTATCAGAAGGACCTCAATAAGGTACCCCTATTTCGTGAACGCCCAGGTGCAAATTGACAAAACCATCTTTACGTCGTGGTCCAGCATGCTGAAAGAGACGTTGCATGCCCTTGACATCTCAAGCAACGCCGTGACCTCCCTCTACTCGCTTCCTTCAACTTTGCAATTGGACCTGCGCCACAACACCGTCCCTCTCACCATCGGCAGTCAGACCCTTACATACAGCCAGCAGTGGAACTTTGGACTTTTTGGTTTCCTTATTCAGTAGGAATCATCAAGTTTATCCCTTTTTTTCTTCCCTTGGTTATTGGAGATTTCAGTAGGGAATCCTCAAGTTTAAGCTGTTTCTTCCCCTTGGTTCTTGGAGGACCCTAAGCCCTAAACCCTAAACCCTAAACCCTAAACCCTAAACCCTAAACCCTAAACCCTAAACCCTAAACCCCGCCGTAAGGACCCTGGCCGAAGCAGCCCATTTGAGGCTCGACCTAAATCTTGAGGGTACACAGCTGGCAAATCGGGAGGAAGTCCGAACCTTGCTTGGGACGGAGCTGGAGTTGAGCAAGTCGAGGCCGGGAGCTGTTTAGGGTTTAGGGTTTAGGGTTTAGGGCTTAGGGTTTAGGGTTTAGGGTTTAGGGTTTAGTTTGTTGCGTTAGGGCTCCTTATGTGGCTTTTGCCATACGTGCAAGAATAGTAGAGACAGCAATGCAACAAATGGAAAGCGAAGTACATTCGTAATGAGATATCGCATTTCGAGGTCTTATGCCAATGAAACTGGTGGCTACATTTGTGCTGGCTTCACCCTCGCCTCTCTCCATGTCACGCCGGATCTGTTCCTGCCTGATGACATGTGCGTCTGCCTTCAGGGCTACCAGGGAACGGGCACCATGTGCAAAACGTGTCCGGCCAGCACTTTTGCTGCCGAAGAGGGGCAGACACGATGCGAGCCATGCCCGGCAAACAGCAGTGCGCCCCAGGGGTCCTCCTCCCTGGAGGCCTGCGCATGCGAGTTCGGCCGGCCACGGGGGCCTGAAGGCAACCGAAGCTGTCAATGTGACGCGCACAGCGCGCTGCTCGACGGCCACTGCGTTGCCTGCAGCAAGCTCCACCTCCAGTGCCTCCAAAACGGCACCGTGGCCGAGGCGTGGCCTTGAAGAGGTACAGAGATGTGAGCTAGTCCTACAACGGGGGTTTACGAACTTAGGGGTCCCTTAGTCCCTATGTGAGTCCCTATTGATTAGGGGATCCTATACTATTTGGGGGACTATATTCGGTTGTCCTCCTTATTCTCGTAAACCAACCCTGAGGCAGCACTCCCTGAGCGGGGCTACGCTCGCCTCTATATCCTCCTTTGGAATTGTTTTACATGTTTGTGCATATAAGACCCAAGAGGACATTAAACATATTATGTTCATTAAGGCTCTAAGGGGACTATAGGCCTGCCGGCTGCTGGGGTCTTCCGCTGCCTGGACCCACTGCGCTGCCCTGGGCAGCTCCCCTGCGCCACGGGACGCTGGCCTCTGTGTTTAGGGTTTAGGGTTTAGGGTTTGGGGTTTAGGGTTTAGGGTTTAGGCTTTAGGGTTTAGGGTTTAGGGTTGTTTCCATTTTTCCTGCCCTTCCTTAGTGGCTGAACGAGTACACGTGTTGGGTGATACCCTATAGAACTGAAAGTGTACACTTGTTGGGGGCCCTATGAACTCAGCAACTAATATAAGCTTCAATTTGTCAAGAGGAGCACCCTAAACCCTAAACCCTAAACCCTAAACCCTAAACCCTAAATCTTGCGAGGCTATGGTGGCCCCCTCTGCGCAACCTGTGCGCCAGGCCACCGCTCTGCGAGCAACCTGTGCGCAGCGTGCGCGGACGTGGAGGACGTGGAGTGCCTTGGGGACGAAATGGACCCTAAGATTGGGAGTCATATGAAGCAGGGTTTATATTTCTGTTTTTTGGTGAGTGTATATAAGGTTCTTTTTTATTATATTGGTGAGTGTATGTATTTGCTGTCCTTTTGGGGGTACAAGAAATTTATACCCTGCTTCATATACCCTGACTACTATCATTCCTATTGAGGTAATACGAGCCAAAAACCCTGCCTACTATGATTCCTATTAAGGTCATATAAACCACAAACCCTCTTAAGGGTTCATGTCGTCCCCAAGGTGGATGGAGGTCCTCAAAGCCGTGTCCCTGGCGACTCTGCTGCTTTGCCTGGGCGTGGCTGCCGCATACCTTCTCAGGCCCCACGGCCTTAATAGGAATCATAGTAGTCAGGGTTTTTGGTTCGTATTACCTCAATAGGAATTATAGTAGTCAGGGTATATGAAGCAGGGTATAACTTCAAGAGTTTTTCAGGGTACGGGGGTGAAAACTGTGGACATCACGGGGTTGAGGGTCTAGGGTTTGGGGTTTCAATGTCTGCTACTAGCTGCAACTTGAACTTACAAGAAGCTTCATGGCGCTTCATGGCACCCGCCACTGGGGGACTTCGGCCCTAATCTCACACCATACGGTACGGGAATCCGGCTCATGCCCTACTTTGGCGTAGACCCTGGCAAAAGTATGTACTTTTTAGGTAAAAGTAGCTACTACAGGATTCCAGAACCAAAAACAGTATTTCAAGTACAGTACTCCAAAACCCAGTATACGTACTGGTAAACCCTAAACCCCAAAATCCGTCGTAGCCAACTCCGCGCGAGGTCCTGTATACCACCCTTTGGTCCTGGCGTCCGGTGTGCGTGCGGGCTCCTGGCATCACAAGGACCAAGTGACTCTTGAAGAACCGGGTTCAGGATTCAGGTATGTCCAGGTTCCTAAAAACCCAGAGTGAGCGACTAAACCCTTAACCCTTAAACCCTTAAACCCTTAAACCCTAAACCCTAAACCCTAAACCCTGAATCCTGAACCCTGAACCCTGAACCCTGAACCCTGAACCCTAAACCCTAAACCCTAAACCCTAACCATACCATTAAACCCCAAACCCCAAACAATCTGTTTCCTCTGGAAGGACTCGTGCTGCTACAGCTGGCACAGCTGTGGGCTGTCGTGGCGCACTTTGCCAAGACCTTCTGGGGGAGTTTGCGGAAATTAGTGGCTTAGGGTTTGGGGTTTAGGGTTTAGGGTTTAGGGTTTAGGGTTTAGAAGGGTTTAGCATAGGCCTTAGGGATCCCTACGAAGTCCCTATGGGAATCAGTTCCATCAGGGTCCATCTGAACCACTGCTGACAGCTGGCCAGTGCGCAAGCCTGTTTTTGGTAAGCGGGTGCTCGCCAGCGGGATGATTCCGGGATGAGTATGTTCGATGGGTTTAGGGTTTAGGGTTTAGGGTTTAGGGTTTAGGGTTTAGGGTTTAGGGTTTAGGGTGTCCAATTCTACCTCCTTGCCTTCACCACACAGTCTGTCCCGGACTCCTCCAAATTCAACGCCTTGGGAACTAGAATAGCCCGAGGCCAATGCTGACACAATCGGCTTGCGGGGGCAAGGGTTTATTTAGGGTTTAGGGAGTTCTCTGAGGGTAATTTTGGGGTGTGGTCGTGGAGTTTATGAGCACTAGTTCGGTGGGATAGTAGGATGTGCATAGTCAAGGGCATTGTGGAGCCTTGCTGCATCTGCCGCGATGCTGAGGCGCCTGGCAAAGTTGGCTCAAGAAGCGGCGCAGGAAGCTGCCCAAGAAGACCTGGCAGCCAGCGTCAAGACCGCCACAGATGTTCAGAGTGACTTGACTTGCCCTAAACCCTAAACCCGAAACCCTAACCAGTGAACATTCTTTGAGGTTGTTGCTTCGGAACGAGTATAGGGGTGCGATGCCCAGGTGATCCCATGCTGACTTACATCGAGATCTTGCAGCTCAGGGGGATGGAGCTTGCGAGTTTCGTGGACCTGCAGTGCCGTTTCGATGGTACGAACGTCAGGTGGAAGGGGGGGAGGGGGGGCGGGGGGGGGGGCTGCTTCCTTGGCGGAGGGTCTGTTCACGCATTTGGATCAGAGCACGTCAGAAAATGATATTCCAGCGCGATTGATATCTCCAAACTCCACCTTGCTGTCCTAGAAAACAGGCTTGTTTGCTGTTGGGAAGTTCCCTCTTATACTAACAGTCCTTAACAGGGATTGTACTCGTAGGGGATACTATCACAAAGACTTGTGAATATAAAGAGAACATCCCAAGCTGTAGTCTAATTGCGAGGTCACTCGCAGCACTCGCGACGCCGCTGCTCCCGGTGGTGGTTCTGGCGAGCTGCGCATGCCTGGAGCTGTGCTCATGCGGCACAGGAGCCCTGAACCACACATACGACCGGCAGGTATCATACCCCATAACCCCTGAGAAAGACTTATAAAGACCCCTTATATAATAGGGTTGATTGTGGGACTATCGCGTCTAGTAACCCATCCTGGTACATAAAAATTCTACGTCCAAGCAAGGGGACAGCTCTAGCAAGACGTGGTGGTCGGAGTCTCACTTTCTGGCACTAGCCGCCACAAGTCCTGGCGTCGGTGTAAGGAGCGTGGTCAGGTTCGAGGTTCGACCAAAGTGCGAAAAGCCTACGATAAAGGGACTCCTAATGTCTACCCCCAAACAGTAGGATACCCATAGGATACCCCTTTTAAATCAGGACCCCAATGAGGTACCCCGAGTATCGTAAGCCCCATATCAGGACATAGAAATCCACAATAGTCACCCCAAAACCCTAACACCCTCATACCCTAACACCCTTTAAAGAAATGCCCTAAACCCTACAAGAAGATAGTCACCATTAGCAGTGCCATCTAGGAGTCAGCATGGCCCTGAAAGCTCTGGCCGTGCTCTTCGTGGGCGGAGCCTCGGGGGCTGCGCAGCTTCTTGGGTGCCAGGGCCATGACGGTGAAGGCGCCTTGCACTCTGCCTTCGTATTCAGGGGGTAGATGCTAGAGCTTCCCGCCATGAGTTAGGTTTTAGAGTTTAGGGTTTAGGGGTTTGGGGGTTTAGGGTTTCGGGTTTAGGGTTTAGGGTTTAGGGGGGCTCATGCCAGGACGAACCATTCCGAAGGAGGCTGCTTTTCGGCCCCTGTTCCCACACCTGCTGTGCGCCGACAGCACCGGATTTGCAGGTTGGGCCGGGGGCTCGGCCTTCCTTCGGGACGGGACGAAATGCACCCTAAAATTGGGGTCATATACCCGGACGACTATGGGTTTAGGGGTTAATTAGGGTTTAGGGTTGGGGTCATACACCCTATACTACTACAATTCCTATCAAGGTATATGAACCATAAACCCTTTTAGGGTTCATTTCGTCCCCAAGGTACTCAAAGCAGTCGACCAAGAGAACCCCCAAGCCAAACTCATTTCTGGTAGATTATTACCATCAAATCCAACTCCAGGGATCTTCGGAAACCTACCAAGAATGTACTGTAGGCTTTGGGTTGTTAAGACTAGGGGGAATGGACTGGGTCATCCTTGTTCCTACTTCTTCAGACGGTAAAGGACTAGACTGATTGGTGTCGCTCCTATGGCTCATGCGCGAGATTGCCCAACTCTTAATTGGGCGTGTTTTTTGTTGAGCTGTAAAGGCTCCAAACAATGTTGTTGCAAGTTGTAAGGTTGATAACATCGGCTTCGGCAGTGGTGCCATCTACGCCGTCGCCGTCCCACTTTTTCTGGCTTTCCTGTTTCTCAAGCAGAAGGTCACGCTTCAGCGCCCGGGCAGACATGTTGAAGTCTCCGCAGCACCTAGTAAGCTCGTGGATGACAAGAGTTTAGTAAGAATCTGCCAGTGGGCTCCGAAGAGCGTAGCAGCATGACACTGCCATGCCAAAGCACAGTACTAAGGGCCTCCAACAGGACTTGGAGCCGTTGGACTCTGAACCCTCAACCCTAAACCCTAAACACTAAAGCCTGCTTCGAAGGCAGAGCAAGACCTACCTTGCAAGCGCGGGCCGTGGGAAGACGAAGAACGAAGTGCGGTTGACCATTTCCCTTTGCAATACCTCCACGCCTTTGGAGGACACAGGGAGGGTGCTAGATGCGCAAGATGTGCTGAGGCACACGCCCATGCCGTGACGTTGGCAGTCCCCTAAACCCTAAACCCTGAACCTAAACCCTAAACCCTACACCTGAGGACAACATCCTTCAGAAGCGCCTGCTTGCAGCCGCGGCAGCATACTTGGCGGCGAGCGTTCGGGGGCGTGCCTTCGTCGAGTTGGGCAAGGACTCAGTGACTCTTGGCCATTTCGTTTGGTTTTATATGAATTTTCTACACACACACACACACATGTCGAACCCTGCATGCTGCACGAGGTACCAGTCCCCCTGTAGGAGTAGAGTCAATCAAAGTGTGTCCGTTGGGGGCTCTACATGTGCACCCAAAGACCTGCAGCGTCGTTGCATTGCCCCACGGGCGGCCTGTGGCCTTGCCAATCCCTTGTGTATACATCTCCAGTGCAGAAGTTTCGGGTTTAGGGTTTAGGGTTTAGGGTTTAGGGTTTAGGGTTTAGGGTTGAGGGGTTTAGGGCTGAGGGCTTAGGGTTTCGGGGCCGCTGTGCACCAAGCACTCGTTCATGCAACCTAGTACAACGAGCGAGGTCGTGCTCATGTGTCTCCAGTCTTGCTCGGTCCAGGTCCGTGATCCGGACGCAAAAGGACGACAGTGGTGTCTACGACCTGTCAGCAGCCCGATGCGAGTTAGCTGTTGTTTTAGGGGTTTAGGGTTTAGGGTTTAGGGTTTAGGGTTTTTACCTCTGCACTTGTGGTTCTGACTCTTGGATGGCGCTGCCTAGCCTCTTGATTCCTTGTGAACCTTCCTGCCACGAGGCAGAAAGCTTCATCATGGAAACCAACAAGATGGAAGTTGAAACCCTGCGCCGCAATTCGATGATGCAGATGCTGACAGAAAGGAGCATCCTCGAGGAGGTGCAGTCTGACAGAATCTCGTTCTGTTGCAACAGACATTGGGGGGGAGGGGGGATGTTGGGGAGGGGGGGGGGGGGGGGGGGGGGCAGCTGTGGGGGGTTGTTGCGCGGGGGTCGGGCGAGATGGTTTCGACGTGTCAAACGGATATCCTCGCGCGGGAGAAAAAGCAGGCGAAAGGCATCGTTTTGCGTTTTTTATGCCCTTTAGTTCATGAATCTGAGGAATGATGATTGGGGCAAAGCAGCTGCTCAGCAAATACGCCGCTTCCCTGCAGTCGGGCCACATGCCTCATCGCAGTCACGATACAGAAAGAACTGTCGCAATAATTACCCCAGCATAGGCAGACACTTTTTGGAGGCCTGAACCCTAAACCCTAAACCTTCGTGGATGTCATACACGAATGGTTTTCTGCCCGAAATTGCGGCCTTCGAACTTTCCACCCCTTATCCGGAAACCCAATGCATGTAAGATGACATATGGGCAGAGCTCTGAATGACTCGCATGGTCACAAAGCCCAAAAAGGGACCACCAGATGAGCCCCTCAAACCCTACACCCTGAACCCTAAACCCTAAACCCTAAAGCCTAAACCCCAAACCAGCATCTAAACCCTAAGCCCACCTTTGCCCAAACCCCAGAGCACCTTGGTAACCGAAGAGGCCTGCTGCAACAACGTGTGGATGGAGGCCGCCCGCGTCGCGCCCAATCTTTCAGGAGTTTATCCACTGAAACTTGCTGGGAGTTTAGCGTGTAGGGTTGGGGTTTAGGGTTTAGGGTTTAGGGTTTAGGGTTTAGGGTTTAGGGTTTAGGGTTTAGGGTTTAGGGTTTAGGGTTTAGGGTTTAGGGTTTAGGGGTTTAGGGTTTAGGGTTTAGGGTTTGAGGGTTTAGGGTTTAGGGGTAGGTAGGGTTTAGGGTTTAGGGTTTAGGGTTTAGGTTAGGGTTTAGGGTTTAGGGTTTAGGGTTTAGGGTTTAGGGTTTAGGGTTTAGGGTTTAGGGTTTAGGGTTTAGGGTTTAGGGTTTAGGGTTTAGGGTTTAGGGTTTAGGGGCCGCAGGATGTAAAGGCGTTGATGAGTATCGGGGCTCAGATTTTGTGATGGATTGTTGGTTCTCAGGGAGTTCTGGTTTCAGCCGTCGTCGTCCAGCTGGACGCTACATGGGGAAGCTGATAAAGGCAAACTGGGCTGAGCATGTTGGAGAACATTGCATGTTGTGAAAGTTGCTGTTCCCGGCTAGTGCAGGAGGTTAGGGGGCTTATGATTGTAGCAACTCTTCTTCCCCAAGGTTACACACTGTCCCGATGCCTCACTCGGTTGCCGGAAGACCACAAACCCATCGGGAAGCAAATCAAGCTTCAACCTGGAATGATCAGCCAAAGCACAGCAGCACCTGTACAACAGTAGAATCACGTGCCGACCCTAGACCCTAAACCCCAAACCCTTCTCCCTGAACCCTAATCCCCAAACCCTAAACCCTAAACCCCAAACCCTTCTCCCTGAACCCTAATCCCCAAACCCTAAACCCTAAACCCCAAACCCTTCTCCCTGAACCCTAATCCCCAAACCCTAAACCCTGAACCCTGAATCTTGAACCCTGAACCCCAAACCCTAAACCCTAAACCCTAAACCCTAAACCCTATACCCTAAACCCTAAACCCTAAACCCTAAACCCTAAACCCTAATCCCCATCTGTTCTTGTCAGTGGCAACGGCCGCAGGTGGCACTGAAATTGGCCTCTGCGGTCTTGGTCTCCGCCGCTGACCTCGAATTGTGTTTAGGGTTTAGGGTTTAGGGTTTAGGGTTTAGGGTTTAGGGTTTAGGGTTTAGGGTTTAGGGTTTAGGGTTTAAGGTTTAGGGTTTAGGGTTTAGGGTTTAGGGTTTAGGGTTTAGGGTTTAGGGTTTAGGGTTTAGGGTTTAGGGTTTAGTTCTTTTTGTTGTGCTCCTGTCCCGCTGGCATCGCGAAACCTTGCAGTGAGAGGGGTAGGTCGCGCCATCATGTAGCTTGGTAGCCCAGTGGTACCCCTTTCGATTTTGGGGTTCAAGGTTCCTTATAACAGTCACCCAAGCCCCCCAAGAAAGAGTGCCTTCAATTCGAAGTCTCCAAGCACCAAGGACTTCAAACACTAGCTCAGTTTGGGATGTTCCCCCTGATACTCACAGTCCTTAGTGGGGATTATAGTACCCCCCCCCCCTGCATTATAATCCCTTTTTAAGGACTGTTAGCAGAAGGGAAAACATCCCAGATGTTCAGTCCTCGACCCTTTGGATCCTTGCTTGCTACAAAATCCACTGAACCATATACAACATGCACTGAACCCTATAAACCCCTACGCCCTAAACCCGGTGAGATCTGAGGTGGTCGCCACGCAAGACGGCATGTGCCTTGGGGACCAAATGCACCCTAAAAAGGGTTCATGGTTCATATGACAAAAGCTTTTGTAGGGATTCTAGTAGTATAGGGTATATCCCCAAACCCTAAACCCTCAACCCTAAACCCCAAGCCCTAAACCCTAAACCCTAAGGCCCTAAACCAAAAACCCTAAACCCTAAACCCTAAACCCTAAACCCTAAACCTAAACCCTAAACCCTAAACCCTAAACCCTAAACCCTAAACCCTAAACCCTAAACCCTAAACCCTAAACCCTAAACCCTAAACCCTACCCCCCATTTGGGGGGCTCGGTTCGCCCCCCCAAGGTGGCTCTCGGTGGCCGTGACCCTTGGCATGGCGCTGATAATTGGCGTGGCGCAGCCCTTCGCGCAGCCCCAGGCGAGCTGTGGTTTTAGGGTTTAGGGTTTAGGGTTTAGGGTTTAGGGTTTAGGGTTTAGGGTTTAGGGTTTAGGGTTTAGGGTTTAGGGTTTAGGGCTTACGAAGCCAACGTTAGAAGTTTTAACTTTTTGGGTTTCCTTATGTAGCAAGACTAAGAAGTTCTTCCTTGGTTATTGGAGAAGTAAGAGGGTTTCAGGTGTGAGTTGAGGGTGTTTAGGGTTTAGGGTTTTTTGGGTTTAGGGTTTTGGGGGCTCAGGCGAACACCCTCCAGAGTTTCTGCTTCTTGTGCTCCTCGGCCTGTGCAAAGGTAGGAGGTCGTTAGACACATGCAAACCCTAAACCCTGAGCCCTAAGCCCTGAACCCTAAACCCTAAACCCTAAACCCTAAACCCTAAACCCTAAACCCTAAACCCTAAACCCTAAACCCTAAACCCTAAACCCTAAACCCTGCGCTCGCCTTGGAACTTGTCCAGATCACGGACAGGGTTTGCACACGGGCCCACAAGCATAGCCATGTCTGGATGAAAGCCTTGAGCTCCAATCTCTGATCCTACAAGCCCCTAGGGTTTAGGGTTTAGGGTTTAGGGTTTGGGGTTTAGGGTTTAGGGTTTAGGGTTTAGGGTTTAGGGTTTAGGTTTAGGGTTTAGGGTTTAGGGTTTAGGGTTGCTCAAAGGGTTAGGGTTTAGGGTTCGGGCAGGCTACTGCAAATGGGCTACGAGTATATCGTAGATCATGTCCCAGCACAGAATGTCTGGTTTGCCCACATACTTCAGTGCTTAGGGCTTGGGCCCTAAACCCTAAACCCTAAACCCTAAACCCTAAACCCTAAACCCTAAACCCTAAACCATCACTGTAAGGGTTGCGGGGTTTCGGGTTTGGGGCGGTCTAGGGTTTAGGGCAGTTTGGATTTTAGGGACCTTCATCTTGGGAAGTTCCCCTTATGCGAACAGTCCTTAATAAGGATTATAGTAGGGAGAGTACTACAATCCCTATTAAGGAAGGCTTTAGGGTTTAGGGTGTAGGGTGTAGGGTGTAGGGTTTAGGGTTTAGGGTTTCGGGTTTAGGGTTTAGGAGAGCTGTCAGTATTAGGGGGAACACCTTCAACCTGAACCTGGACCCCAAAAGCCTTAAACCCCAGCAGCTTGGGTCTGCTTGGTGGCAAACAAAAACCAGTATAAGACCCTAAACCCTAAATTTTTCCCTAAGACCTAACCCTAAACCCTAAACCCTAAACCCTAAACCCTAAACCCACCATTTTGCACGAAGCTCTTCTGCAAGCCAAGGTCTGGGCGTGGCCGCGGTGGCCTTCGCGCACCACGACCGTTGGATCCCGCGCCTGGCCCTCGCGGCCGCGCGGTCTGTTAGGGTTTAGGGTTTAGGGTTTAGGGTTTAGGGTTCAGGGTTCAGGGTTCAGGGCTTAGGGCTTAGGGCTTAGGGCTTAGGGCTTAGGGCTTAGGGTTTAGGGTTTAGGGTTTAGGGTCTTTGCAGGTTCATAGGTTAGGTTGGGCCTTTTGGGAGCGTTTGGGGTTCCAGCTCTCCAGGAAAAGTGAAACGCAGCTTTTGGCAACACTTTGCTCTAGGATTAGAGCAGGTAGGTTTTCGCAGGGCAGTATAGGGAAAGGTTGAGGGCTTTGGGGGACATAAGGTGATGTGTGCGGAGGGGCCAATCATGCGTACAACAGTTTAGGGCCTAGGGTGGACATGCTGGGTCTGGGGATTTGGGCTCGGGACGTGAGCTAGGCGACAAGCCTTGCCACACTCGGGGGTTACCTACAGATTCTATATTGTCTTTTTTTGAAAGTGTCCAAAACAAGTATTGTGCTTTACTTTTTTGCCACATTGTATTTTGTCTTCTACATGACTAGAGCGTACACGCGCCCACCCAATGGGAAAGCAGCTGCCAAGCTGCACGCCTACTGTTTCTTTGTCTTCGCCTCCGACCGGGCACGATCCCTTGATCCTCACAGTCCCAAATTCTTGGGCATTGTGGCGAATGATCGTCTGCGTTTCGTGGTGATGACCGCACGCTAGGAAAGCGGAAGTGTAGCTGCTCAGACGTGGACTGTGCTCGTGACACCGCCCACAGCATGATAATCATCCTGGCAATAAAAAGAATGACAATGCTAACAACAAATCTTGAAAAGAACACGTCGAATAGAAATACTTGCATTAACTATGTTCAGCAAAATATAGGAATATGAACAATAAGAAGCAGAATGAGGATATCGACATCTAAACCCTAAACCCTAAACCCTAAACCCTAAACCCTAAACCCTAAACCCTAAATCCTAAATCCTAAGAACAAGAATTAGAGCCCTGCTGAGGCGCCAGTGGTGCTGGTGGCTTTTCAGCTTCGGCGGCCAGACTCTGCCGAGGCCAGCACCATGCCCCCTTAGGGTTTCTAGGGTTTCTAGGGTTTAGGAATCATAGGGTTTAGGGTTTAGGGTTTAGGGTTTAGGGTTTAGGGTTTAGGATTTATAGGGTTTAGGGTTTAGGGTTTGGGGTTTGGGGTTTGGGGTTTAGGGTTTAGGGTTTACAGGGGTCAGGTCGGCTCATGGAGAGACGGGCGAAACAGGTTAGGGCGGTGGGGGGTGGGGGGTCTTCGACCGCCAAGCCCTTGCCCAGGCACTGGCGCTGCGCCTCCAACAGGCCAGGACACGACAGTTGCAGGACAACTTCGGACTTCTTCAGGCGTTGCTGCGGTTGGTAGAGGAACGTTGCTGATGAAGAGTTTCCAGCTGGATGTTGGGGTGTAGGACTTTCAGGAAGCATGGGGATCTTCCCGCATCCCAGACGATGCTAGCTGATAGAAGCGACACGCACCGCAATGGCATCTGAAGCAGTGTTCTGTTATGTAGATAGCAGGTAGCTCAGGAGTTGACTCAGTATACTAACTTGTTTTTAGAACCATTCTTACCATGACTAGCACGAATATTCGGAGAGCATTATTTTCCACTACATATACGTCACTGTTACATACTTTGTACTAGTCAGCAGTGCCAATTTGCCATTTTGTTCTCGCGCCGCCCTCAGAAGTAGGTGCGGATGAGAGCTTTTCATGTATGGATCGGAAGCTCTTGGGGGGCTCATGGTCGCTCCAATTTCTGTAGTGGCAACTGTCGTGGTCCAGGAACTGGAGGAGCAGCTCCCGTCCCTGCGCCGCGGTGAGTGCCTCCAAGTGCAAGCAGAAGAGCTGCGGCTCTTTTGAAGCTTTGGATCTTGGCGTGTCCAAGATGCCGTCGACCATCGCTTACGCTCCGAATGGCGAGCATGTAAAACAACAGCACCGAGCGTTGCCTAAACCCTAAATCCTAAACACTAACTAGCATTAGTCCGGAGGGATTGCCATTCAAGACTCAGGAATCGGACGGATGGGGAATACGCAGGAGTTTTGTGTTTATAGGGTTTGTAGGGGTAATGTCTTCAGCAAGGGTTCACGAAGGGGGTGGCTTAAGAAGTCTGTTTTAAATGTTCGGGGTTTGGGTAATTTGGGCGCGGGGATTGCTTCTTCTGGGATCCTTGGCGCTGCTTGCACTGCAACGCGGCATGTGCATCATGATGTGACTCCCTTCGCTTGCGCAGCATCTCAACGAATCTTGTACCCCCCCCCCCCCCCCCCCCCCAAAAAAAAAAAGAAAACACAACACATTGAGTGAAGACAAGATTGCCGAGCTTCGTAAGAATGTTTTGCTTGGCGCGCCTTTACAATCAATTGTCTGGCCCCCGTCCCCGGGGGGCCCTTATTGTTGCAGTTAAGTATTGTTGTTACTTTTTCTCTCATGATTATTAAGAATAACATTTGTATTATTAATATGTTTATTGTTATTGTTATTGTTATTGTTATTGTTATTGTTATTGTTATCGTTATTGTTATTGTTATTGTTATTGTTATTGTTATTGTTGTAGTGATAGTTTGTGGTAGTGGTAGGTAGTTACTGTAGTCGTCGTAGCACAAGTAGTAGGTGGTCGTAGATGCAGGCCCCGGACCTATGAGCAACCTCTCTTTGCAAATCCACCAGGGTTTAGGGTTTAGGGTTTAGGGTTTAGGGTTTAGGGTTTAGGGTTTAGGGTTTAGGGTTTAGGGTTTAGGGTTTAGGGTTTAGGGTTTAGGGTTTAGGGTTTAGGGTTTAGGGTTTAGGGTTTAGGGTTTAGGGTGGGCGCAATGTCGATCGAAGGCGTGAGGAACGCCAAAAGGGGCAGGACCAGCCAAAGCAAGGATACAAGCGACAGCGCTGCCGAGGATTGCCCTATTTGCTTGGAGTCTTTTCAAGTGACGCATCACCGCCAGCTGGAAACACCATGCTGCAAACAGACAATTTGCTCTGACTGTGCCGACTTGATTGAAGAGAAGATGTCTGGCACTTGCCCATATTGCCGTTCTGGTGCCCCGACATCAAAAGCCTCAAACATTCCACCAACTTCTGCAGGGACTGATGTGAACGGGTTGCAGGCTGCAAGCCTCGAGCCAGAGAGGCCAGAGACTCTTGCATCGTCGGGCTTCGAGCTGTTTCGGCAACGCTTCCACACGATCCTTCTTGAACCTTGGGGACTAATCATGAACCCTAATTTGGGCTTAGGGTTCATACCGCCTTAGTCCGGAATTACAGTAGTCAGGGTACATGACCCCAATTTTAAGGTTTAAGGTTCATGTCGACCCCAAGGAGCACAACCAACTCCGCCTGGGCAGAGGCCGTACCCGACAGTGTGAGTTTCATGCTCGCGGCTTCTGCAGGCGTGGCCAGCGCTGCACATTTGCGCATGGCCACCCTGATCTCGATCGCCCCAACGGTATCTTCGTGGTTTAAAACCCAGCTTTTCAACTTCTGGCCTCTTATAATTAAGGTATAGTCTTATTCTGAATTCTGAAAGTGTGCACTTTTTACCCCATGGGTACTTGGGAAGTAAGGTCTACTCCCAACCCAGCAGAGCCGTGCTTCAGTAGGAGATCTGGATTTTGAAATGGGCATGAGGCGCCGCCTGGAGGCTCTGAGGCAGGACGGCACCGGCTGCTTGGCATATGAGGCCCTGTCTGGATTTCAGCGGAAGATTGTGCACTTGTTGGCAGACGAGCTTGGCTTGCACCATACATCCACAGGGCCCGCTGAGGCGAGATGCATTCATGTTGCAGTTTGCAGGGATGACTTGCCAGCTGCTGAGCCACTGTTGCGCCAGCCGGCCCGCGCTGAACTTTGCAATCATTTTCTGCGAGGGTATTGCCGGAACGGCGGCCGGTGCCACTATAGGCATGCCTAAAGAGGGAACTTAAGGAGCTCTGAAATGGCCACCGGCGAAAGCCAAGAGCTTTGAGGAA